GGGGGGGGGCCGCCAGCCACTCTCAACAGTGACTGCCTCGTTTTTGACACGGCCATAGCACACCTCTTCGCTGACAACGGGAACCTCGGCATCAACGTGACTATCTCTACATGTTGTCCGTAGCTAGCAAAACCAGGGCTGTCCGGACAGAGCGCTTTACATTCACCAAGGGGGCTCTTTTTGGTTTGGTTCTTCTTGTTTTTAAATGATATTCAACTGTCGTCACGTACGCTAAGGTTCCTAACTAGCCAACACTTTTAACTTTGGAGAGAAGAGGAACAGGAGGGTCCTGTGAGTAATATGAGTGAGAAAAGATCTTTTTAAATTCTCGTGTGCCTTAGGAAGATTCCCCACACAGAGTCACCTTTTTAAATTTAACTATATTTTATTTAAAGAGTGCTTCCATTAGACATGTGGCTTAAGAGACTTGAAGGACTGCATTCCTATTCAGAGTGCACCTGAAAGCCCTTTCAGCAGGTTCGCAGAGGTGCTCTCTCACTGGTGAGCTTTTAACAGTTTCTAGGATGTGGGAACAGAAAGAAACACAAGCAGCTTCTCAGAGGACATGCTGTGACTCAGAGGGGAACAACAGCTACTTCAGTGTTGATACTCCATTTCCAGGTACCTTACTAAAAAGGGATGGGCACTGCATTGGTTGCTGGGTTTTCAAACAAAACCAGGGGAGGGGCTGGGGCAGAGCACAGAGGATTCACAGGGCATGGGCACTGCCAGCTCCTGTCAGTTCAGGGGGAGCAATGAGCCCAGAGCACAGCACAGCCGCCCACAGCGCAATACAGCTGGAAGCAGGAGGCATGCACCTAATTTATCTCAAACAGCTAAAGCAAATAATGCAGAAACAGACCCAAGCTGTCCACACGCAGCTTCCCTTGGAGACATACTTGACTATTGATTATTGTAAAAGATTCATAATATAGCAAGAGCTTTATGGCCAGTGTCGTGTCATTTGCTATTTAAGTTCTGTTGCCATATTTACTTTTATTTTGTAATAAATATTTTGCAAAAACTACCCGCATAGCCTGCTGTGCTAAGACGTGCGTGTGTGGCGGGAGCTGTCGCTTCCTGGTTACTCGGCCTCCTGGGGTCTGCC